CTTTAGTGGATTTTGCTATCCTAGGTACTACCAAAATTCCAGAGTTTTGCGACCTTAGGGAGCGTGATGGATTGTAGCGTGGTAGAAGACTAGTTAGGTACGCAGGAGCTAACCCATTAAGGGCCTTGTAGGTAAGTAATAATATTTTGTAACTGATACGGAACTTAATAGGTAGCCAGTGCAGAAACTGTAAAATTGGGGTAATATGATCATATTTTAATAATTTAATGTAGTTATTTAATTTTTTAATGTATTTATTTAACTTATTTGAATTTCTTTTTAATTTTAATTTCTTTTGTTTATCGAATCATCTGAGGCAGATGTTTGTACCAAGTGTCAACAAGCCCATGTGATGCAAACTAGAACTGAATGCCACACCATTACAAAGCGCTTGGTCACCATCCACTTTAACACACACATAGGAAAAGAGGAAGCCTGCAGGGAGCATGAAAGAGAGGAGGAGGTAGAAAAAGCAGAAGTGTATAAACGGAGTAGGCGGCGATGAAGAGGTGAAAAAAAAGAGATGAAGGAAAGAGGGATCAGACAGAGATGAGTGTGAGGAAGCCAGCAGAACAATAGCGAGAGAAGTGGAAAAGAGCGATGGAACAAAGAAGCACATGCACGGATTAATTAAACAAAGAAAGAAAGGAATTTAGAGGAATAAATGTTGGGGAGGGGTAGGAGAGGTACACCCGGGCACAGGAGTCTTTTTCCCCTTCTTGAATATCCAGTTTTGCTCTGAAATTCATAAAACTTTTCGTCTAATGTGTGTTGTTTTATTTTAAAAACAAAACTTAATAGTTCTCATTCAGATGCATTTCTGAGCGAAACTGAATGTTTAACTGTAAATATGTAATGCAAGACGGGATTTAATTTGATCTCTCAGATTGAATTGTGAAAATTGAGGTTTGATATTCAGAGGTGAAGAAAGCTATTACTTTTTGATAAAAGCAAAAATTGGTGGGTCATGAAAAAAGGCCAGGAACAGTTAAGAAAGTAATTTTGAACCTTTAAACCATGTCAGAGGTTTAGCTTTGATCATACAGTGCATGTACACTTGTGTGTGTGTGTGATGTCAGCTGACGTTAAGTGTTTGTTTGAAGGGAGTGTGAATTGGAACGAATGTCTTTTATGTGTCGAGAGACAGAGCCTCAGGCTGTACAGAGAGGAGAGTTGACTGGTTTCCCTGCACATGTTTATCACCATTTGTGTCCAAGGCCAAAGAAAGTGTGTCAATGTGTGTGTCTCCCTGATAAATGGACCTGCTAATTAATGGTGTGCGAGGAGGCTTGTGTGAAAACAATGTTAAACATGGGTGAATTTTGACACCAGTAAGGAACAAAACAGGATTGCGGTTTTGAGAAAAGCCAAAGTTTGATTTAATGTCATGATGCACGTCACAAAAAAAAGCATGTTTGCTTGTTAAAGTGCATTTTATTGGTTGAGTTTAGCCTTGGGCTGTTTCCAGTGCCATAGGTTTTATTTTTTTCTGTACTGCGTTTTATAGTTTTGGCTCACACCTTTGAGTGATTTGAGAGAGGCTGAGGCAACGAGATTACTTTTCCATACCTCCTCAACATAAGATCACTCCTCATCTGTGCCAGATATCTAAATAAGGCCATAGCTGTCCGGTAATAAATTTCCATACGGCATTCTGAGTGGAAGTTTGTGAACTTGCTAGTACAGACACGTTGAGTGTATTGAGTGTAGAATGATCTAGAGTTGTTTATGGTGTAAACCCACAAGCTGAATCTCTGGTGTCGGGCCGTTAACGGCAGCGGGAGGCTGCACTTACCCAGAGGGGAGGGAGACGAGAGGTTTCCAAACAAATCTTTGTGTGAGTGTGTGTTTGTGTTTGTACTCATAGTTAGGTAATATGTGCCAATAAGTGATCAGAGTGCATAAGTAAGGCCATGGTGTGCACATAGGCCTACTCACAGCTGAGCGATTCCCATAACTCTCTAGGCTGATGTGGACTACTGATTATAAGAGCTGTAGGCAACTGAAGTGTTTCCCAGTTGTGCGTTAGCAACTATGAACTACCAGAAACTACTTTTTCTCACAGAATGCTGTGTTTTAATTAAGTAGGTCACATGTTTGAGGAATGTTGTTCACATTTTCTGCTCTTATTAGGTTTTTTTTTTCAGTTCTCTGAGGGCAAGTTGGAATTAAAACCCATGCTACATGCAAACTACTTACTATTTCTTCATTATTTGGTATGTATGTTCATAGTTTACAGTACACATTTTCTGTACCCATGGAATACTAGAATGATTTACTGCAGTTGCTAAAATGAGCAGTATAAAACAAGCCACACTGCAAAGAATATAGAATCTCAAAGTGCAATGCGAACAACTTAACCTTATATTCCAGTTTGATGAATTAAATTAATATACCATGATTGTTAAGGTCTCTTTCTTGGCTCATTATTTGCCAAAAGTTAATTATTTTAAGTTAAATGATTAAGGATTAAATTTAAATTGCATTCAAATGTATATTGATTTTATTCCCAAGATGATAGCTGGATGCCACTTGTTGAATTAATCTAGACAACAATATAGCATACACTACTGTTTGAAACATTTATAGTTGCATAATATGTCCAGTTCACATATGTCCATTCAGTAGTTTCTGCTATAGATTTGTGATGCATCAGACTTGAGTATTAGCTTATCTTCAGCATTGGTTAGATTGGGAGGTTGATATATTAGACAATATAATGACTTAATGCCTGTTTTCATTTGAAGCATGCTGTTTGAAAATATAGACTGTGTGTGTGTGTGTACAGCTCTGAAGACACCATCCGTATCTGCTCTGGCTGCAGTGTTTGCGGTTATCTTTTTAGAGAGCTGTATCACACTTGAGCGGCAGAGACTTCACTCAAAGGAAGCTCAGAGCCAGCCGCCCTACGCCCTGTGTGCCTCTCCATGCTTGTCTTTGGCAACACCAGCTGTATTTTTACATTTAGGAAGGAAGTTTGCAAAGAAGTTACACCAGCCTTGTTCTGTGTAAAGATGAGCATTAAGCGGTTTGAATACAGGATGAAGTCCTAAATTAGATTCACCATCCCCCGGCTTCATGCCTTCACTGGTGTGCGTATGTGTGGGTGAGGGTGATCTCTCCTGTCAGGGGTCTTTTTGTGACATTGTGCATGAATGAATTTAAAGGGCAGGCTAGACAGCCTATTGATATGGTCATAAAACATGAGGAGCATGGAGATCTCTGTTTTTTTCTTCTTTTTCTAACAGTAAAACACTCTTTATAAAGGTGTACAGAGGCCTGTAACTTTAACTGGCAAAGTTTTATATGTACTATATGTATATAATATTTGTATGTCCCTGTTGAAGTGCAATTATTTCAGCTTTTTATATCATATACAAGATGAGTCTGTTGTCGAAACATCATGGTTTTCTTCCTCTTGTTTAGGTTTTTTTGGCTTAATGAGAAAAAGTAAGAGCAAAAAAATTTATCACTTGGAGTTCTGGCAAAAACAGCAACGTTCTTGATAAACTTGTGATAACTTTTCCTCTGACGTAAAAGACGTGCATGTCAATTTGATTTACATGACACAATTTTGATTTAAACCTGGTAACATTGCAGTTCCCAAAGTTACAAGCTAAATGACAAGTAGCCCAAATTTTTATTCTCAGTTGGCTTTGGCGAGTGTTTATTTTGGACAAGAGTCAAAAGACTGTATCAGCATACTCACAAGTCAAGAAACAATGCAATGCTGTGATGATCAAAACATATTGTTGTTTCATGAAGGTCTCATGTGTGTCTCCCACAGACCCCCAGCACCTGGGCCGATGAATGCGAAGAGAAGAAGAGGGGCTGTCACAAGCGCTCAGCCTCCTGCGGCAGCACTGACCAGCTAAAAGAGGTCAGGACGCGTTTAGGGCCTGATCTCCTCTCCTCCCCCGTGTTTTGTTCCATTCAGCAGAAGCAGGGCCGGGGCTGGACCCCCTCGTTGTTTTTATCTCCCCCGTGTGAGATTGTAGATGAGGAGACGGGGCAGCAACAGGCTGTTGGGGTTGGTGGGGAGGGGGAAGATGGAGGCTGTGTCATTATCATATTATTGGCAGGCTCTAGTGAACCAGAAGCAGCCTGGTGTCACCTCACATTACACCCTCCCTTCCTCCTGTTTGTGTGTGCACCCTTCCTTCCCCTGTCACATCCACCAGTGGCTTCATACGCTGTTCTCTCTATTCAGTCTTCTTCCTCTCTTCCGCCACTTCAAGGGTCTCCTCCCTTCGTATGTCTCTGCTGTGCCCCTTGAGTGCCAGGCTTTCACAGGCATCTGTGCATACATTATCTTCTGCCACTCATTATCTCAACTGCCATCTCTCACCGCTCAGTCGACTCTAAACTTGTGTGTGTGTGTGTTCTACTTCATAGTCAATCATTCTCTAAACAGTCAGCAGGTCATATGTGCACTCACACACGCTGTAGGCAAATCTGATGGAGACCTAGTTAGCTGCCTTACCTAGACAACGTTTAGAGATATCATAGAAGATCTGGAATGGCATATCTTGTTTGATCTAAATTGTAAGGCAGTGGACAGAAGGTTACCCTAGAATGCACTGCATTGCATTCTTCTTTGCTGTGCATTAGGGAAAAACCATGTAAGATATAGGACTGAGTGAAGAAAATATTATTTGTTTATTCATTACTAAATGGTATTTCAAGAAAATAGATCTGTAAATTTAAATGTTGTAGGAATTAAAAAATGACAACTAACAGTCTCTACTTGGAGCCATTCAGGGATGGATGGATGGATGGATGGATGGAGGGTTGGATAGGTGGATGGAAGGATAGATAGGTAGGTGGATGGATATATGGGTGGGTGGATGCATAGATGGTTGATAGGTAGGTGGATGGATGGATGGGTGGGTGGGTGTTTGCAGAGATGGATGGATAGCTAGACGGATGAATGGATGGATGGAGGGTTGGATAGGTGGATGGATGGATAGGTACGTGGATAAATATATGGGTGCGTGGATGCATAGATGGATATAGCTAGACGGGTGGATAGATGGATGGATGGAGGAATGGATAGATGATGGATGGATAGATATATGGGTGGGTGGATGTGTGAATGATAGATGTGTGGATGGATGGATCAGTGGATGGATGGATGGAAGTATGGATAGATGGGTGGATGGATAGGTAGGTAGGTGGATGCATGGATGGATGGATAGGTAGGTGAATGGATATATGTATGATTGGATGGATGGATGGATGGATGGATGGATGGATAGCCAGATGGGTGGATTGATGGATCAGTAAATATATAGATGGAAGTATAGGTAGGTGAGTAAGTGGATGGATGCATGGATGGATGGATAGGTAGGTGGGTGGATACATAGATGGATGGATAGCTTGGTGGATGGATCAGTAGATGGATGGATGGAAGTATGGATAGATGGATGGATAGATGGGTGGATGGATGGGTGGGTAATGTAGGTAGGTAGGTGGATGGATGGATAAGTAGATGGATGGATAGATGGACAGATAAAGAGATATATGGATAGATGGATGGATGAGAGAAACTGAAATTGAGAAATTGTAGAGAAATTGAAGCTTGTTAAAGCTATATTCTAGCTAGTAATTGCAAGTCTTAAAAACATGTGAGTGGTACAAAGAAGTCAGGATCTTGTAATTACTGTAATCCTGACATTATTTAAATGCAGTATTATTGTGGTTCGCATGAGTAGGGCTGTTTGCTGCCTGTGCAGTCCCACTCAAATGTGAGGTTAAGTTTTAGTTAGGATGCTCCCTTAGAAGGTAACAGGTCTCAGTAGGTCTCAGTGAGGGACCTGTTGTAGTCTGTGGTACAAACACCACATAATGTGCCTTCTCAAACAAGCATTGAACAACACCAACACCTCTTCATCACAGTCACACACAGATAAAGCCCACACAGACCCATTAAGCCCTGGTCAGAAATGCTTCTGTGGGAATTAATGTTGTCACATCCTGGCTGCTACAGGTTAAAGTTATACTATACACACAACCAACACATCAATACCAGCTCACTCATACACACAATCCAACTGTCAAACAAAATAAACAATATATCAATAATGTAAGCATACAAAGAGACAAAGATCTGTATATATAATAAAATTTTCCCAACTTAAAATATTGTATTTTTTTTAAAATATCACAGTGATGATGGTATATGGATTTCTTATCAAAAACTTTCAAGGTTTGTTTATATAAAGAGATAATTGGTTTGAGAGAAGTATTATTTACTTGTGACCAGGTTGTCAAACAATAAGTGATATGTGAGAAGATCATCGAATGCATAAACATCTTCGCAGCCTTAGTTGACATGCAGCTACGGGCATATCTAAAATTTGCCAAATTGAACTTAATATGATTGCAAACCTTCTTAATGTGCGTTTTAAAAGTAAGATTGCTATCAATATATACACCCAGATATTTAAAATCTGAGACAACTTGTAGTCTCTCCCCATCTATGACTACATCTGACTCCGCACGGCAACTTTTAGTTTTACTGAAAAACATACATACAGTTTTTGACACATTTAGTTGTAAACAATTATGTTTTAGCCATTCCGTGATCTTTAACATTGAACTTGTTAGCTGATCAGAAGCTTGAGTTGCACTATTAGCATGTACAAAAACTACTGTATCATCAGCATACATCTGGATGTTAGAATCTAAACAAAAATTTGGCAAATCATTCACATACAAAGAAAATAAAAGTGGGCCCAAGATTGAACCTTGCGGGACACCTGCTGACAAAGAAACAACACCTGATTGATAATTCTTCACTCTAACCAACTGAGACCGATGTATTAAATATGATTCTACCCATTTAATGGTGTCTAATGAAAAATTAAAAGTATTCAATTTAGATAAGAGAATCCCTTGATTAATGGTATCGAAGGCCTTTTTAAAATCTAAAAAGACGGCACCGACAACCCCTCCTCGATCTAACAATAACTTAACTTTTTCTATAAAATAGCAATTAGCTGTATCGGTTGAATGATTAGTACGGAAACCAAACTGATGTGGGTGTAAAGGATAAGCACTAGTATTTAAATGATTAATCATTTGTTCTGCAACTAATTTTTCGGCCACTTTGGAGACCACGGGCAAAATACTAACAGGTCTGTAGTTACTGATGGATAGACGATGGATAGTACATGTATTGCCTTTCTCTTCCCTAGGCTGGGGTAAAGAGAGAGTGAGCGGGAGGGTATATCTGTTTTTTGTTTAACAGACCGATTTTTATAAAGGAAAGAGTACTAATGTAATTGATCATAAGTGTTTTTGAAAGCATGTGTTTGGGGTGGAGAGAGGGTTTGGGTGTTTATTTGTGTATGTAACAAATTACTTGAATGCAGTGCGGAATGTAGTGCCATGAGACAATCAACAATACCATCTGACCTGGGGCTCTGACTCACTCAGGGCTAGAGTTTAATAAGACATAACATACAGTACAATTAACAATAAACCCTGATGGTATCACCCTCAATGTAGTTTAATTATATGCTGGCTTTTATTTAATCAAGATATTTGAAAATAATGTCTGTCCTGACAATCTCTCTCTCTCCATGTTTTAGATTGTGAAACTGAGGCAGCAGCTCCAGCGCAGTAAACACAGCAGCCGTCACCATCGCGACAAGGAACGCAAATCTCCCTTCAATGGCAACCATGCTGCTTTCAGCCAGTCACAGGTGAGCTCTTTCTCATTCGCTCTGAACCCAGAAGACCCGGTGGAGAAGGTTACCTGGGGTGGTGTGGTGATGGTTACCAACAGGAACACTGTTGTTTTTGAGTCTCTTGCTTTAGTTTTTTACCTCTATAGCAGTGAATCACCAACCATCAGTTTTTTTTGTTTGTTTGTTTGGCCAAATTTAATAGTGTATATGTATATACCTTTGTATATACCAAGTGTTTTTGAAGTCTTATGCTCACCAAGGCTGCATTTATTGATCAAATTTACAGGAAAACTGAAATATTGTGAAATATTATTATAAATTAAATGAACTGTTTTATATTTAAATATATTTTTAAATATAATTTATTCCTGTAATAGGAAAACTGAATTTTCAGCATCATTACTCCAGTCTTCAGTGTCACATGATCCTTCAGAAATCATTCTAATATGCTGATTTGCTGCTCAAGATGCATTTCTTATTATTAATGATGAAAACAGTTTTCAGGATTCTTTGAAGAGAAGGTCCCGTCCAAAGTAACTGTATTTATTTGAAATAGAAATACTGTGTAACATTGAAAATGTCTTCAATTTTGATCAATTTAATGTGCCATTGCTGATTAAATTATTAATTTCTTTAAAAAAAAAACTTACTAACCCCAAATGTATGTGTGGTGTAGTGTACATTATTTACATTTATTAATTTAGCAGATGCTTTTTTTCTCTTCATTGAAAAAAAATCTTTTTTTTTCCCAGTAGGCCTACATTGCTTACGCTTCCTAAAAGCGCCCATGCGACTCGTAGTGGTGGAAAGAGTACTAAGAAATTGTACTTAAGTAACAGTATTGCTACTTAAAGGCAGGGTATGTGATTTTTCAAAAACACTTTAGAAAACTGATTTGGGCCGAAAATGCAATAACTTGAGTAGTTTTCAGCAAACTACTTCATGTATTATTTTTCTATTTTTACCCAAAATGAGACGATGTGAGCATTATGGAGCAGGGTTACAATTGCAATGCAATGCTAATTGACATAGCTTGTATCACAGTATAGAATTTTATAAAAAATATTTTCTGTCTCACTGTTATAAGAAGCAACATGGAACCACAGAAGCTAACTGTTTAAAACACGACTGATGTTATATAGTGATTTTGGAGCAAAACATGATACTAGTCTCATAAATTGTCATGTTTGATGTTATGATAAGCAAACATACTACCTATCCCTGTTGCCAGGAGCAACTGTTTTATAACTTATTTTGAAAAGTACATTCACGTATAAGATTATGTGGTTGTTTTTAAGAAGGGCAAAAGCAAAGAAGGGTAAGTGAGGGTTTAAAAGAAAATAAATGGTTTAAAACAGTGTGAATTGTGCCAGTAAAAAATAATGTGGGGTATGGGTAAGGTTGGGCATCGTTTGAATTTTTATGATTCCGATTCTTGTCAATTCCTAATTTCGATTCCAATAAGGTAAAAAAAGAAAATAATAATAATAAATAAATAAAGAATAAAAACTATTAGATATCATTCACATTTATTCTAACTCTTATTGCAAAATATGTCCTTGTTAGCTGAATACTATGAATGAAAGTCAACAGGCTAAAGAACAATTACACAAGAATCTGCGCAGCAGAGAAAACAGCCTGTGAGTCTTCTTGACTTGAATGGTTAAAAATCACATTGAAATTGTAGTTTGTAATAATAACAAAGGTGGACTCCAGGGACACATTCGGTAGGACAAAAAAAGCATTTTATTTAACATATTCCTTTGTGCGCATTTTAATATGACTTTAAACCATTCAAGCACAAGAAGACTCGTGCTCTGTTTTCTGTACTGCACACATAGGGGCATAGCCATCATTTCAGAAATGAGGGGGATCGAAATGTAAAAAAAACAAAACTTTTGTCTAATTGACAGGCTTTATTTTTTCTTATGTATTTTAATTGGATAAGAAATCAAATACACTGCTGGATGATAACCAATAATTTGTATTCTATAATATTTTTTTTGTGTATTTTCCTAATGACAGTTATAATTGGTTTAAACAAACACATGAGATAGAAAAGTTTCTAAACTGTATTAAATGTTATGTCAATTAGCACTGCATTATTCATATACTATATTTATTACCTCGAAATGACCTGAAATTACCTTTTTTAGTAGCTACAGCAATAGCGGGATGCCTTTGTCCATATTAGGGATTTCCTGCATGTCATACATTATTACTTCTACTAGGCCGTTTTGAACTTTCTGCACGAGAACGCCCTCTGGTTTCAGCATGAATGAGTAATGTTCATATCATCTCGTTTTGGATATGAATAAATCGTAAAAATCACATTGAAAGTGTAGTTTGTAATAATAACAAAGGTGGACTCCAGGGACACATTCGGTAGGACAAAAAAAGCATTTTATTTAACATTTAAACCCATACCTAGGCTTGGGAATCCAAAATCTATTCCAATTCTGGAATAGGATGCTGTTAAGGTTAGGAATCGTCTAGTTGTTATAAAATTAAAATTTTGATTCCTCTTATCGATTCCTTTGTGCGCATTTTAATATGACTTTAAACCATTCAAGCACAAGAAGACTTGTGCACTGTTTTCTGTACTGCACACATAGGGGCATAGCCATCATTTCAGAAATGAGGGGGATCGAAATGTAAAAAAAACAAAACTTTTGTCTAATTGACAGGCTTTATTTTTTCTTATGTATTTTAATTGGATAAGAAATCAAATACACTGCTGGATGATAACCAATAATTTGTATTCTATAATATTTTTTTTGTGTATTTTCCTAATGACAGTTATAATTGGTTTAAACAAACACATGAGATAGAAAAGTTTCTAAACTGTATTAAATGTTATGTCAATTAGCACTGCATTATTCATATACTATATTTATTACCTCGAAATGACCTGAAATTACCTTTTTTAGTAGCTACAGCAATAGCGGGATGCCTTTGTCCATATTAGGGATTTCCTGCATGTCATACATTATTACTTCTACTAGGCCGTTTTGAACTTTCTGCACGAGAACGCCCTCTGGTTTCAGCATGAATGAGTAATGTTCATATCATCTCGTTTTGGATATGAATAAATCGTCCGGTCATGCATCTCGTTTCTTCGCCCATATGCTCATACATCCAAAGCACGCAAACAGAAAAAGGGATTTTAAATGCATCTGATTGACAAATAAATCATGGTTGATCTACCAGCCAGATGCACGTAAAAATGCATGCGCTCTTATTTCAGTGTTGTAGTTAATGTTGAGGTTATTTTAGCTTCGTACATTTAGTTTAACTGCACTGTTAAAGACCGTGGTGTGATCGGCCTGCTCCCGCAGCTGAACTGGACATTTTGATTGGTTCTGCACCCGAGTCAGACCTTGTCTGTTATTGGCTGAAGCGCAGGGCTCCACACCTCGACCCCAGAAGTTTGAAAAGTGCCCGTCAAACGCCGACTTGCTCCGTTTCTCCATCGGCGCCTTTGTCTATTTTTTTTTTTGTACTTGGTACTTTTGGTGAAAAATAAATGTAGCGAAGTTGAATACTTTAGTTTTATTCTACTCAAGTAAAAGTAAAAGTACCACAATTTAATTATACTCAAGAAAGAAGAAAAATTAAAAAATGTACTCAAGTACTGTAACGAAAGTATTTGTAATTAGTTACTTTCCACCTCTAGCGACTCGTGTGCTACTTCTCAAGTCTTCTGAAGTCATACTGTAGCTGTATGTGATGAACAGACTAAACGTATTTACTAACTAAAAATCCTCCGCCAGTCAAGTCTGCCACATTAATGATACACGAGAGAGCGAAAGTCTGTTTATTGACATAAGCGTAGCACAGTGCAGTGAGTGGACTTAACGCCATATAAGCAGAAGAAGAAACCAAACACAAACGTTGTGTGTCATCAACACAGCAGTTTTGAATGTGACAGAATGATTTGGTAACTAGAAGTCGTCTCCTGTGTCCCCTTTATAATACCTCCCCACACTATAAGCCACTGAATTTCTGCATAGTTTTGCCACGTTCTCTCTCTCACTCATTCTCAAAGCACGTGAGTGGGTAAGTGTGCATACCACTGTGTAAAAGCGTGTCATGGTGTGTGTGTGTGTGTGCTTGCACTCTGGTCTTAATTGGCAAAGCCAGGTGCAGGCTTGTAGGCTGTTTAAGAATAAAAGACCTCTCTTCACGAAGACAGGAACAGTGAATAAATTACTGCGGCCTGCCGCTTGGCCGTGTCTCCCTCGCTCCCCCTCCCTCCCTGCCTCCGTCCTTTTCTCGCTCTCGCTCTGTTTTGTTATTGTCCATGAATTAGTCCAGCATGTGGTGAATGTGCCGCACGCCTGGTCTTTACTGTACTATAGCTTCCAGCCAGTCAATTAAAGGCCACACTCTGTCCGGCCCGCTGGATGTGTGTTTTTGGGGCCCGTTGTGCGGCTGGGGCTCTTTTTTTTTTGTTTAAGTGCATGTGGCGGGCTCAAGCACCATCTGTCGTCTCACTGTATTCATCTTTTGTATTTAATCCTCTGAACTGTACTCAGACTCTGCCCCTCTGTTGCACAAAACACTAGACTATTCACAGCTCACCCTGAATTGGACAAGAATACTGATTTGACCGGTGCAGTCGAACTAGACGTGTGCCGTGTACCGACGAAACGTGCTACCTATCAGCTACCAAAAATATATTTGCATTGTTTTAACGGTAAGTTTAGGGTAAGGGTAGGTGTGGACGGGTAGGTTTAGGGTAGGGGTAGGTATGGACATCTAAAAAAAGCCTCAAACCACATGAATAAGATGCTGGTAGCACAATCTGATAGGTAGCATTTTTCGCTATCGATTTGTGCTACCTATTTCTTTAATGGGAGGTAGCACAATCTGAGCGGCTAGCACAAATCGTCAGAACACCGGTATTCGGTAATGCGATATATCACGATAATGAATATGCACGATATCGTTATCGTGGGCACTTGAAAATACCAAGAATAATTATTTATTACAAATTATTATTCTTTATTGTTTGGTCACACTTTACATTAGGGCTTCATTAGTTAACAGTAGTTAATTCATTAGTTAACATAAACTTCTAAACATTCATTAATCTTAGGTAATTCCGGTATTTAATAACATGTTGTTAAAATAAAAAGTTGCAACTGTGTTATTTAATGAGCTAACATGAACTAAGACTTGTAATTTGCACTTAAATGTTAAATGTTCAGTTATTTTTGTTATAAGAAAAAAGTTATTAAACCTGTTATACTGTATTATGACAACACTTTTTTGCAACTAAATTTCAATATCGTGATAATACCGTATACTGTGATAAAAGTATAGGCAATTAATCGCAACATGAAAATTTGATACCGGCATATCCCGAAGTCGAATACCTTACAGAAGTCTGTGTTCAGAATGGAATACTAGCTTACTATTCATTGGATGTGTAGTATGCTGTATACATCATGTTGCCTACTACTTTTTTTTTTAATAATTAAACAGTACACATTATTCTAAGTTATATATTTGGTAGTACAATTAATCATTGTCACATGACGCCATTATATCCTATGTATAATTAGTGGCATCCAGTTATTAACTTGGAAATGAAAATGATTCAATTACAATTCGATTTTGTGAATAAAATGTCTTAACATTTGGCTTTTTGGGTCAAATAAGGAGTCAGAACAAGGTTGTTTGCATTGCATTGTGGGATATGGTAGCCCTTTCTATGACAACATAGATAATAAAAAGGAATGCTCTTGAGCACCAAATCAGCATATTAGAATGATTTCTGAAGGGTCATATGACACTGAAGACTGGAGTAATGATGCTGAATATGTAATTAACTTATTAAAATAGTAGTAAAAGTTATTTTAAACTGTTATATTTTACAATATTACTGTTTTTACTGTTTTGTTTTTTTAATCAAATAAATGCAGCCTTGGTGAACATAAGAGACTTCTTTCAAAAACACGGTAAAAAACTTACTGACCCCAAACATTTGAATGGTAGTTTGTGTCAGTTGATATCAGATAGATAGATAGATAGATAGATAGATAGATAGATAGATAGATAGATAGATAGATTATTAACTGTTAACGCTTTGAGCAATCACACATCCCATAACTATACTGCAGAACTAGATAAGGTAGTGTATTAGTTCACTGTTATGCACAACCATACTCTTGTTCTGCAACTTATGGTTTTGCTTAAGAAGGAACGATTTTTGGTTTGCTTGAGGCGAGCTGTGAGAAGTTCATGGTTTCGGCCCCTCAAGACCAAAACTTTTCTCTCCCTTCGCTCCACCTCACTTGTTTTCTCACAGCATAGCCTCAGTGTGAGAAAACATATGGAAGTGCTAACCTGCTATTCCAGGAACCCAGACTACCACGTGATCATTTAACTATACACAAACACACACTCGCATCTGTAAGAGCCATCCCCTCCAGCAGATGTACGCGGGGTTGATTGAGCAGTGTATCATTAGTCAATGCCATTTCGTTCTGCCTCCAGATTCCTGTAGTTCTCTTCATAGCAACCGAAGTGGAGCTGGATTTGTCTTTTGAAGGTTTATTTATTCAGGGAGTTTCTCTGCTGTGTATTAGCCGTAATTTGAAGCAGCTGAGGGTGAGTTTAGAGCCGGAGAGATGCCCAGGCCTGGTAATTATAACAAGCATGCATTTATTTGGACGGGAGGTGAGAGGGCATGTTTCTGCGCCTCAGGCTGAGTGGTCGTGATGTTTCTCAGCTGGGCCATCGGGGTCGGGTGCCGCCCAGTGGGTGATGTAGACTGTAAACTCTCTCCCTTCCATCACATGAACAGTCTGTAATTTTTTGATGACCATAGGCACTTTAGTCTGACCAAGTTCAACCCCCAAATTTTATTGTAAACTTCCATTTCTCTCTGTCTTCTACTTCCTTTTTGTCTTGGCACTCTGATGTAAAAGCACTTTCCTAAAGAACACACACAGCGTGACCTCTGTGTCGAGGGGGAGGGATGTGTGTGTGTGTGTGTGTCGTCTCAAGGGCTGCGTCGGGTATATGTGGGGGTGTTCTTCCCATTATGTGTGTGGAAAGCAGCTAAAGATGAAGTGGCAGTCATGAAAATGGCATTCTTTCAGAAATAAAAGCCCTGAAGAGGGGGAATAAGAAAAGAGGAGGAATGAAAGTTGCATTTGAAGACCTTTATGAGAGATCCGGCCATAAGGTCAGCAGCTCCATGAGAAGAAAAGAAGAAGAAGAAGATCAGAGGAGACACAGAAACACGGTGAACAGCCGTGGAGATGTGCGCATCTTCTTCAGGCTTGGGATCTGCTTTGTAACAGAATCAACAAACTTGATCATAAACTTTAGAGTAGATGCCATATTTGTTACAAACTAATAAAAAATATAGTTGGTAGTATCTGTCCAATCTGTGTTATACTGTCGTATACCTGTGTGTCAATAGTTCAGCTATAAATACATTGAAACATGTCATTTAATTCATGTTAAATTAAATGTGGTGTTCACTGTGACTAAATAACTATACATCCATCATATTAGTCCTCTGTTACTCCCTAGATGTATTAGCTTTAGTGTTAGTTCTAGTATATCCGTTCAATGGGCCTCATTCATGAAACATCAGCAAAACGAATTGCTGTGTAAATCATTCATAAATCCGTTCTTGTGTAAATTGTCACATTGAACTTAATCTTCCCACAAATCTCCAGTGGACAAAAACAACAAGGTTTGTGAAAATTAAGCATGACCTTGGACCTGAAGTTATGAAATGTTAAGCAGACTCTACTTCCTTCCCTCACGGCCTCATTTTGGCATTCTGACTAAAATTCATAACAATTACCTTCTTGATTTGTACTCCTTGGCGATGCTAGGTGTGTAAGCAGTATGGCAGTAACTGTGAGAATGTGTCTTTTCACACAAATGTCCAGTGGACAAACAACTCTGGAGTGCATGAGTTGTGCATGTGGAAAGGGGTCATGAAATGGACAATCAAAATGTCCTTGATATTTACACATAAGTGGTTGCTCAACAATAAAAACATGCAACTACAAGTCTCATAGCTCAAAGCTTTCAAAATTTTCCACCTTTACAAAACACATTTGAAATCGCCCCAGTCATTGTCACAATTTTCCTCTACACACCCCTCTTTTTTAAATTTTTCTTCAACATGCCGCTGGTTTTTCTAAATATCTTGTATTCAAAGCCAAGTTATTGCCAAGTATTTAGTCCTCAGATGCCAGTAAGTACATTTATTTATAATCTTCAAGAGTGTTTGGAATAAATGTCAAGCCAATGTTTAACACTGTTAAGAGACCAAGTGTATCATCGTATCATAATTTTCTTAATATATTTAATATATAGTTAATATAATACAATATTAAAGGGGTCCTATTATGCTCTTTTACAAAGTCTTGATTTTGTTTTGTGGGGTGTACTAGAACAGGCTCTCATACTAGGTTGTTCGAAAAACACATTATTTTTCACATATTTTACATTATTACAACACCTCTCTCCCCAGTCTGGCATGAATGGCTCGAATAGTTCCTGTATCAAATGAAGGCCCGCCTTCTGAAATACGAAATGTGCTGTGATTGGTTAGCTGGGACAGTGTGTGTTGTGATTGGCA